GAGATGGCACAAGGAGCAGGAGTGTGCTTTTCACGTGAAAAGTACAGCACTGAACCGACAGCAGCTGGCAGAGCAGATGTGGCAATGTCCTTTAAAGAAGTAGGTGGCTTTCACCTCCTCCCCGAGCACCAGTCCTTACCCATCGCTCCACCGCCTTGTGTCTTTTCAGCCTGGGTTTGGATCCAGCTGAGGTGTCGGGGCTTCATATGATGGCTATACAGAGAAGAGCATCCTAAGAGCCCAGCAGATGACAAGCAGGTGAGAAATCTCAGCTACAGAACTTCTTCTTAACCTCCCCATCTGGGCGAAGCAGACCACGTAGGCACTGCCTCCAGGTCCCACTTCCCCAGCGGAGTCTCATCCACTGCTGCCTCCGCGGGCACTGCCGCATTCCTCTGCACTGTGCAGACGGGAGTCCTCAGCAGAGGGGCCTCCCTCCACCAAGGTCTTGGCCAAGGATGCTTGATGATTTCTAGTGCCTTGGCCTGGGGGCTACACACACGTGAACACATGTGCACTCGTGGCAGGGAGGAGACTGGCAGGCATCTGGTGTTAACTCTCTCCTCCACTCTGCGTGGAAACACAGCTTCACTTTGAGCATGTGTGGCATGGACCAGGGCAGCAGGCAGCCCCCCACCTTCGCTCCTCTCGATACCAGGGCTTGGTCAGAGACGGACTATCTTCCAAAGCACCTCTTGGCATTGCCCAGCAGCAGGAAATGCTTCTTGGAAGCCTTGTGCTCATTGCTCTAACAGTATCAAAGTTGACTGTGGAAAGCCACGCTCCCCTGGCTGAGAGGAGTTGGCTGCTGGTTTGTTCGGGGTGAGGGGGAAGCTTAGCCCTTGTCCTGGGTAAGAGGAGCTCCCTTTTCATTCATGCTCTTTAAAAAACAAACAGAAAAAGAGACGCAGAGGAGACAGGTATCAGTACTGGACGGGCAGCAACACGAGCGGGCAGAAGCAGAGAGCCCTGCTGTGCTGCAGACCTGGCCCTGCTCACCGCGACCTCTCGGGCTCCTCAGAGATCAACAGAGACACGGGAGCCCCAGGTTTCCCCTCTGCCCGGTTCAGGCCGAACTGGCCCCTCAACCCTGGCCTTTGGCTCCTAAACGTCTCCAACCAGCACTGGACCTTCTGGGTACAGGTATAGGCCAGGGGAGGGATGGAGGAAAGATGAAAGTATCACACCACCAGTCCCTAGACACTGGTGTTCCAGTACAAGGCTGCTTTACAGAGAGGCTGTAAACTTCCCCACAACCTCTCCTCCTGGGTGCAAGATTCTTTCTAAACCCTGGGTTTCAACATGCAGTCACCTTTGCATTTCACCATGAGGCTCCAACAGGGCCAGCAATGCCAGGGGCACATTGTCCCATCCGAGTCTTAGGGTTAACGGAGACAAATCTATGGCCTGCCTCTGCCTTGCTTCTGCAGCAGGTCTGGTGTGTGTCTGCACACACATGGAAGGGCACCTTGGGAGCCTCTGTGCCTACCCACGACCCTGTCTGGGCCCTACAGAAGTCCTTGGAGGTAGGATCAGGACGTGACACTGGCTAGTCAGGGATGCAGCAAAGCCAGCGGAGCATTCTGGCTCTGTTGCCTAAGCGGTGTCCTTGCTCCCCCAAGTTAACTGTAGTGCAGACTCTCTCCCCGGGTCTGTACAGCGCCTAGCACCACGAGCTCGGTGGGGTTAGGGTAGTGCTAGCAGCATACGCACCGTTCCTTTCGGGGTGTTGCCATCAGCCTGCAGGTTGAGAAACGGGTTAGTCTGTGCTGTAAGAACGGGTGGGATGCCTGTCCCCGAAGCCAGGAGGCTGTTCCCAGGAGTGCTGAGCGGTGGGGTGGCCTGGGGGGCCAGGAGGGCATTGCTAGGGTTGAGCTGCTGGGGGGAGAGGGAGGCCATGAGAGAGCTGCTGCTGGGGGGTGGCTGAGGGGCCGAGGTCATCAGGGCGCTGGTGCTGGAGTGCAGGGGGGCCGAGGTGGCTGCCAGGAGGCTGGTCATGGACAGCTGGGACGAGCTTGTCATCTGCAGCCGCTGCAGCTCCCTCTTCTGCTGGATTTGCTGCATCATCTGGAACACCAGGGCCTGCTGCTCCTGCAGGGAAGGGTGAGGAAGAGAACTCAAAGGAGGGACAAAGTGCTCAGGGAGAGGTAACGCCTAATACAAAGCAGCCAGGAGCCACCCGGGCACACTCCATCCCAAGTAATGCTACTGGGGACAGGGAGAAAGTCCCCTTAATCATATCTCTATAGGTAGAGAGAGGAACAGTCTGTCTTGTGTTCATTAACAGCCTGTGCTTATGACCTTTCCAACCCCATTGTTTCCTGAAGCGTAGCATTAGCTAACTGTCACTAAGACACCTGCAGGCACACAAATCTCCTCAGCTCTTTCCAATCAATCGACCCATGGATTTTAAGTCTGTGGCATTCTCTATGCTGAATTGCTAGACTAGCTGCTAATTTTCTTCCCCAGCCCATGCCAGTTCACAGCTCAGCCTTGACCCACAGGGTCAATGCAGGTGAGCTGGACTGCGGGGGACAAGGGCCACAGCTCACCTGCACCCGGAGGGATGGCCTCGAATCCAACCGAACTGCGGAAATCTCTATAGCAACCATCGACCAATGCAGCAGTCTGAGAGCTGACATTGTTCCCGTACCCACAGGGATGCAGCTGATGACACAGTGACATCAGCTGCTGTAAAGAGAAGCCCTTTGAAATTTGCTTTTCCCAGGTTATAAATAGCCTGACCCAGAAATCTATCTAAAGCAACAGGCCAAGTTCATGGAGATATAAATGAGCACAGCTTCATTGACGGGAACTGTTAGCGCTCCCGTGAAACCACTGCAGGGGAGGGACACCAGAGAGGTTTCTGCAGGGCAAGTGAATGCGGTTCTTACACACTCAGGGGCTTGTTTACCATCTATCTGTGCAGCCATTCCCACAACAGCCTGGGACGGGGCTGCTGTTTTACCCAAGAGGATGCAGGCAGAGCGCCAAGATCCTCAGAACAGCTGCCTGATCCTTTTTCTGACCCCAAAGTCCTCAGCCACCTACAGAGTCACCCTGGCATCTCCAGTTCTTCATGTCAATGTGCCCAGATGTGGCTCACCTGCCTCAGGACTAAGCAATTTGGTGCTTATCTCTTTCTAAACTCAAGTAGTGTCCTCAAGCGAGTTCCTCTTCTCCTGTGGGCCTCAGCACATCTGCAAGCCCAGAGACCAGTGTGCTCGTGGCAGCAGGAGCAGACTTGAATTGCATTCAAAGACGGCTGGAGGAGGTTAACAGCACTCCTGATTTTACGGTGGCTCAGTGCCACCATGTTCTCACACCCTCAGGATGTGGGAAACCCAGATTAAATTTTTTCCTTTGTGTGAAAAAGTTCAAATCCCCATCTCCCTCCCTCCAGGAGGTGCCGCACCTTCCTGCCTAAAGCTTTTCTCCTCACTCCATCCACAGCAGCCTGGAGCCAAGGAGAAGGCACATGACTCTTGCAGCCCTGTGGGCAGGGGATTCATGTGAAGGAGGGAGCCCTAAGTTTTGCTCTCTGCTCCAAGGCTTTCCCATTAAACAGCTCATCAGATAAAAGGTGCCGGCAAGCACACTTACCGGATTAAGCGGCTGGGAAGTCAGGAGCTGCTGAAGCTGCTGGAGCTGTTGTTCGTGTTGGTGCAAGACGTGCCGCTGCTGCTCTGTCAGGGGACTCAGGCTGGGCATGCTGCAAGGGGAGCAGGGCAGGGAATGTCAGCGCAGCCTGTCTTGGTCCTGCATACACAGGGCCTCCCTCCCTCCCGGTGCTAAGCTTCTGCTGGAGAGGGCAGGGCTGTCCCCGCGAGCCCCCCATCCTCACCTGCTCAGGCTGGTGGAGAGCTGCAAGGTCGGAGGCCCGCTCGCCTGCGTCAGCGCGCTCGGAGGCTGGGCGGCCTGAGCTCCGTTCAGATTCCCCAGGATCCCGTTGATGGGCATCTGCTGGCCTCCTGCCAGGGTCCCCATCAGGCCGTCCACCATGGGCACCGTGGAGAGGCTGTGGCTGGCAGTGGTGCCTCCCCCCAGCCCGCTGCCTGCCACCCTGGCCAGGCCATTCACCTGCTGCACCCCGGGCAGGGGTAGCGAGGCAGGACTCTGCTGCAGCATGGGCAGGGGCGGAGGAGTGCTGTGGAAGGACAGGGAGGAGCTGCTCCTGCTGGGGCACCCTGAATGAGGGTCCTGGGGGAAAAACGGACATAAGAGCATCGGACTGGGGCAGCTTCTGAAAGGTCAGCTCAGCTCCAGCGGTGCTTTGGGCAGGAGCTGGAGGTGGGAAGAGGCGGCTGTGAGTGCAAGTGCAGGTGTATGCTCAGAGGGGTCCCAGAACTCAGACATGCTTTGTTGGATCTCTAGAAGTGCAGCCAGAATAACCTAGCTGCATTCTCACCTCACGCTCCCAAGTCTCAGCTGCGCTACTCAGACCCTCAGCACTGAGATGAACTGAAGAACGGGCACTCCAGAGAAAGAAACCTGGTTTCTGGGCCTAGACTACAAGGCTTTATGAGCTAGATATCAAGTCAGAGTACTGGGACTGCACTGCTCTGTTCCCTCCCAAAGTCCCTTCCCTAGCTGGCTGGCGGATGCGGTGGCCAGCGTACCTCAGAGGAAGTGGAGAGCGAGTTCTCGATCCCAAAGCTGTTCTTGCATGGGGGGCTCTTGCTGATGCTCAGGGAATCGTTGTTGCAGACTGTACAGAGGAAAGAAGTGAGGATGCAGAGTCAGGGGTGAAGCCTGACGTTGCCACAGCAATAGCAAGGGACAGTGCATACTGCCAGTGGCTACAGGGAAATAAATGGGTCAGATCTTCCCCACTGTGACCCCCTCCTGCCCACCCCAGGGCACCGCCATCAAAGGGCACAGGGTGATGCATCCCACCAGTCCCCTCACCGTTAGGAGGCAGGATGTACTGGGCCTGGCTGCCTGGGCCATTGCTGCTGGTCACCACGGGGAAAGGGACGGAGAGCTGGACGTTGAGGAGCTGCAAACGCTCCTTCTTGGCCGTCAGCGTCATGATCTGCTCCTGCAGCCGTTGGTTCTCCTTCTGCAGCGAGTGCAGGGCTTTGAGCATTTCTACAACTGCAGGGAACGGAAAGGGGGAAGGGGGACAGGGTCAGGGGAGGGAATGAGGGACAGGGGAAAGAGGAGAAAGGGATCCATAGGAGGTACCACAATTAGACCACACTGCGGGAGGAGACTGGCCCCAGATCACAGTCCCACTGCCAGCTACTCCCCTACGGCACAGAATAGCGCTTTGTCCCCCACCCGGCTCCTTTGCCTGTGGGCAAAATCCCAGCTGGCTCCCACACAAACACGCACAAGGACCTCTCCCTCCACAGCCCATGCCCTGAGTAACTCACTGTTTACGCCGGCTTCCCCGTTGCCCTGCTTCTCCAGGAGCTGCTCGATGTTTGGGGTAGCCTGGGGAACATTCTCCAGCTGCCCACTGCTGCTACAGGACACTGTCTGGTCGAAGAGGGTTGGCAGGCTGCTGATGGGGGACCTGAGGAAGGGTTGGGGAGACGTTACCCACGCTTCTCTCATCTGCACTCTTCTGCTCCCTTCTCCCCACATCTCTGCCTCACGCTGGGAGTGGGAGGGGCGCATCCCTCCCAGCCTCAGCCTCCTCTTCTCCACTTCAGGAGAGCCC